ACACAAAGCGAGATGGGAGGAAGGAAGAGGCCAGACTTGCTTCTAAACCATGCAAAAGTGCTAATCATATTTAGATTGATGCATTGTATATACTGCTGTATTAATTTTTAGTTTCATACAATTTTCTTTGGATTTAATGTTTAACCTGAATGTTTTATTATCTAGTGAAATGGATTTCATTGGCAATTTTCTTCGGAAAAAACTATGAAGAAAAGATGGTAATTTCCATTTTACTTGCAGGAAGTTGATCCTTGTAAGGATGTTAGTGACGAGGGCATTCGTATGGCTATTGAGAATGCTACCGGTCCTAAAGGTGCTTTGTTTGTACCTAAGGTAATTACTAGTGAATCCATTTCTGAAACTAGAATGAAGTGATTGAATTGTTTTTTGTTCTCTTTCATTTCAAATCTTCTAAATAGAAGTGTTTACCCCAACTGTGAATCTGATTAGGTGCCATTTAAAGTTCTTGTAAGAAGGCAGATTGGTCGTTTACTTGATCCAAGCCTCCAGCGTGCAAAGTTCATCTATGTTGAATTGATTAAGGTATGTTACCATGCATCCATCATTTGTATATAAGAACAATCAATAGTTTGCAAAGCAATAGTGAAACTCATCTATTTCTTTGTTTAGGTAATAGATGGGCCCATCACAACTTAGCTAATGAGCTCCATTAATATCCTGTTCTGCACAAGTGCATGAACGAGGTAATTGGAAATTTCTTACGAGGACTTCAGCCAGCAAAACCATGATAACCCATCTAATTGAAATGGAGGTATAAGATTAATTTGTCAATGTTAATATGTTGTGATAAAATTGCATTTGCTTTAATTGCCTTAAAGAAAAGAACTTGATAATTTAATTTAACAAATATATACTACTGATTTTCTTCATCGGTAGTAATTGTATGCATTTCAGGCTTATACTGCTGCAGCACTTGCATCTGATTTCACAATTTCTATTTTTGAATATTTCAACGTTTAAGATTTGGGAGCTCTACATACCACACAACTCTTATGTATTTACATCTACCTAAATTTTGATATTAATATTTATAACACTTTCATGTTATATGAAAAGGTGTATTTCACTTTGAAAAAATAACTAATAGGGGTATTATTTATTTGATGTTAAAGATTTGAGTGTTATGTATGTAAATATATTGGTTGTGTGGTATGAATGTAAATGCCTCATAATGTTTTTAGAAACTTCTGTCCATGTTGCCATTTTGATTTACAATTTTTTGCAGATGGATTATATAAATACTTCACATCCAAATTTTATTGGAGGAAAAAAGAATGGAGATTGCACAACAACAAGTCAAAGCTTCAAGGTTAACAGCATCAGTTTCCAGACCCAAGGTACCTGCTATCTCTTTAATCTAACTTAATAATTTCTATTTTTGGAAGCTAGTACATAACTAGCATTATGAGCTCCGTCCTGTTCTTCTTTCTCACTCTTGATGAAAATACTTATTAGAACTAGTAGATATGATGCTTAGTTTAATACTGCTTCGTTGCTATTTCTTTGAAAAGCGGATGCAAAAGCTCTCAAGAATCAGAACTATATCAGGCAAGGTGAAAACTTTGTGGATATTTTTGCCAAACCTTTCTAAATGTATGCAAGAAATCATTTTGATGTTAGGTTTCTTTTATGGTAGTTGTTATTGACACCTTATCTATGTTTTGCAGTAGTATTTTTAATATATATCATATTGAGTTCAGCATAGTAGATAAACATGCCTTGCATGATTCCTCATCAACATTGGCCTCATCCCAATTATTTTTCGACCGTGTTAATTGAGGTGTTAACTACTCTTCCTAAATCTTTTTGAACAACTTCTATTCATGCTATCTTAGGTCTATATTTTTCCCCTTTCTAATCCTTTATAGAATTGGTGTTTTTTATAATTAATTGTATATGTCAAATGCAAATATATTTTTAATTACCTTATATTGAATAGATAGATGCAACTTATATAATTTCCATAATTCAATAATTTTATACTTTGAATTCTAATATAATAATCCCTTTAACTCACAAATGTATAAAATTGTTGACCGAATTATAGTTTTATAAAACTTACCTTCTATGTGTTCATGATCTTCTTCTTTTGCATAATACTTATATATATATATGACGTGTGCTAGAAAATTCGTGGCGGTAGAGTGATGGATTATCGTTTTAGCGTTGCACGAGAATTCAGGACGCACTCAGATAAAAATGAATCGAGTTGTGATCACACCAGAAGTTTTTACGCGGAAAACCCGTAAAAGGGAAAAACCACGGGGCCTGACCCAGTTGTAAAAATCCACTATAAGTTGATGATTACAGATGCCCCTTGTCCCACAGGCGGGAAAGGGTAACTGGCTTTCCACTTTACAACGTCAACTGATGACGTCTAGTAAGCGGTGGTTGACAGAGACTGACAATGATCAACGGTAGTCGACGACAATCGATGATGGTCGGCAATGGTCGACAGAGGTCTGCGGTGGCTGATGACGGACGATGGTAGTCGACGAAGGTCAGCGGTGACTGGCGGCGATCAACGTCAACGGTGTCCGACGGTGGTCGACAGAGGTCGGCGGTGGTTGTCGTCGATTAGTGGTAGTCAACGAAGGTTGACGGTGACAGAGATGATGTTTGA